TTGATGGTCGAACTTATTTTCAGCCCAAAACTTCTTGTATTTAATTGAGAAATTCGACTTTTTTGAGGCTCGCAATGGGAAAAACAGATTTTTATATTAAGGAAATGAAATTTCGTTTTAACTTGTTTTTAAGCATAAAACAAAAGGAAAATTTGTTTGTTTGTTGTGTACTCGTGAACTTGAAAAACAGTATTCTCACTCGTAGCTACGCCACTCGTGAGAATACTGGTTTTAAAGCCCACTCGTTGAAATAAAATTTACCTTACACACAAACAACAAATATCCTCTATGTCTTGTTAACATTTTGTTTGACAATCACAACTGAGCTATCATTTTATTTTTTTAATATCAATTTAATGTCAATTTGAAATTTAAATTTTGTCATATAGAATGAAACAAAAGGAAAAATATCAATATAATTAAACATTTAACAACTTTAAAATTTAAACACATATTTACTTCTAATTGATATGTTGACATAGTTCAAACATATATTTGTATTTGTAACAGCATCTGAGTATAATAGCTATAACTGAAACAAGAATGTAAATATATCTTTTTTCAATGTTAGCATTTAGTTAAATTTTACTCGCGAACATACAACAAATATCAAACATATTTCAAGTTCTAAATAATATACTATAATCTATTTTGAGCTCTTTGTTGTAGAATAGGCATAATGTACGGGTCGAGTTTAAATGCGCAGGAATATAATCACGAAGACCGAAAGGCCTAAGTGATTAAGAATGATAAACGTGCATTATTATACTATTACGTATGAAAAATATATATCTATTTCCATTCTAACATGCTTATCAAAAGAGAACTAATAAAAATATGTTGAACTACATTGTGCGTAGGAGTAATTTTCAAGACGTCATTTGGTTTATTGACGTCATATTTGACGTCATATGACTTGTAAGCATTCCTTTTTATGGCGTTCATATAATCGTGTTATAATGCACTCGAAAGTCCCATCTATATGAATGGGGAATAATGTGAAGGATGTTAGATTTACTTTTGATGACACAGTGAGCATCTGAAAAGGGCATCAAAAATAAAATAATCTGAATGCAAACACTATTTTAAATCTAAGTCGATTCAACATTTTGGAAAATTTTAAAACCGTTTTAGAAACCGAGACGTGAGAAGATTACGATTAAGATGGCAATGACGAAAGTCAATAAGACGTAAATAAATATAAGTTTATCGCATTTTAAACACAGAAACATGTCTCTAAATTTTTAACTTACAATAGTATTTAGAATTGCAAAAAACGTTTTAATATGTAATGTGATGCAAGGAATAATATAAAGATAAGACAAAGCAAGGTAACACACAAAACAATTTAAATAAAGTCCGATGCACTATTGACGCAAGCTTTAAGACCCATATAGCCCCAAAATGTATCATTTTTATTTCTCAAAAGCTTTTTATTTTAGCATCGTGTCATGTCATAGTTTCAAAAAAAGATATCTATTATCTATATCGCTGAACCGTGTTCTTTCACTTTTTGTACAAAGTACAGTTAGTAATTGGTATGGAAGTCATAATGTCACTGCATTAATGACAAATTAGTTCTCTTTCGGCGCTATTGTATTAAGGTGATAGGCATTCTTTATTCTCTTAATCCATTATTAAACATTTTAAAAGACATATTTGCACTTATTTCACGAATAAAAATTGTATTAATCTACGAGGTTTTAAAGTGCCTGTAAAACTAAAGCACAAATGGTTATAAACGGTTTAAACATTTATGTAATTGTAAAACGTCTATAATAAAATTGTAAAAACTGTAGGTTATTTCTTTTTTCAAACCTAAATAAACAAGTCTAATATATTTGAGATTCGATTTTAATTTGACCAAAAAACTGTTAATAAATCCTTATAAAACTGTTGTAAAGAAACTTTAAAGAAGTTTAAGAATATAAGATAAGTAGTGTTTTAATAACATTTCATTTATCAAATTGTTGTTATTTTTTTTATATGTCACACTCATGACTTCAGGTTTGTTTAAATATTGTCGTCTATTACCTAAAAATTGTTTCTAAAAATATTTTTGTATTGAATGAAACGCTATACTTACCATTCAATCGTACACGAGAATGGTTTAAAGGTAATTAAAATCAAATGTATTGATTAACCAACCTATGTCGCAATTATAAACGGATTGATTCAAATGGTATTGTTGAATTTCTTTAAGTAACATTTCATGAACGTTATAATATAGTGTAAAGTATGTAGAACTTTGCAACAAGTACATTAAATGTAAGTTGAAAGTCTTATAATAAAGTATATGAGGTGCAAATAACTCTAAAGAAATCGCGAGGTAAAATCTGAACTGGAATCATGTCAATTGAAATGTTTGAAACAAACAAGATACAAAAATGCATTTAGTAATAACTGTTTTGTAATAATACAGCAATTACAGAATTCTTGTAAAAACATGTTATAGTGTGTATCCATTTACATGAATGTTATAATTTATCAATACCAATACAGAAGCTTGATCATATCTGAAAGAACAAAATCATTGTGTGTTGAACAAAACCATAGTATTCTTCATAATGTTTGTTGCAATTTGAAAGGCACATTATGCCTCAGAATTGCTTTTATTTTTTTTCAAAAACTTGAAAGTTTTGGCAATTTGTTAAAGTAACAACGGTATCAAAAGAAAATACTCATTTGCCACATAAGTAAACTAACTGTTGCTTCTTTTGCTCTGTTTGCAATTAGTATAACTATGTTGAAGTTGTATTTTGTATTGAAGTCAAAATACTATTTTGTTTACATTTTGCTACCTTAACGACATATGAGCCGCGCCATGACAAAACCAACATAATGCGTTTGCGACCAGCATGGATCAAGACCAGCCTGCGCATCCGCGCAGTCTGATCAGGATCCATGCCGTTCGCTTACAAACACTATAACAAGTAGAGAAGCTGATAGCGAACAGCATGGATCCTGATCAGACTGCGCGGATGCGCAGGCTGGTCTGGATCCATGCTGGTCGCAAACGCATTATGTTGGTTTTGTCGTGACACGACTCATATTACTGCACATTCTTCATTGTTAAACTTCTTAAATCCACTACCAAAACATTATTAAACACATGTTTGAGATTTCTATAGAATTAAAAACATATGGATTTCCGTGTCACAATGTACCTTTCAAAAGAAGACATTGCTAGTATATAAACCCATATGAGCTTTTAGGATATACTTATTCTAAAACAATTTTAATGTCACCGGAAAGGAATGTGGTATTCACATAGTAATCTCTTACTATAATTTGTCTTCCACATTCCGATATTGACATTTTTGGAGAGCAAACCTTTCATCGGCAGTAGAGAATCATCAATAGAAATAGGACATGATCTGTGAAAAGCTATTAGTTTCTCCTACAGAGTGTTCAATTATTTAAATCATAATTGGATCTCCCGGATCAGGCTTCAAGCAAAGCGGTGCTATTTTGATTTAGTATTACCAAGAAGGCTTTTAACGGTGCCGTAAACATTTAAAACAGTGTATATGCGTGTCGTTAAGAGCAAAGTTAAGAAAATTTTGCATTTAAAAAAAATATATTTCCGAGTAAAGAATTTATAGATTATCAACTGTTTTTGATGTTCTGCCAATATAAGTTGCCGGTTTTGTTTAACTACAAATTGATGATAATCTTACGGGAAACACGTTCATTTAATAAAGCATTGTACCCGTTTGACAAAAATATGAACTTGCATACTTTAGTTCGTAAACGTCTGTGCAATGTTTGTGTGTACCAACAATATCAACCACCGCTTACTTTCTCGTTACATAAGATAAGTCATCGTCTCTCAAAAGAGTACGTTATTTGGTATAATGAAATCCCTTTGAATGGATTGGCTCAAATTTGAAACAAGGCAAATTCATTAAACAGATTTAGCCAGAGATGATTAAAGGAAAGATGTTAAAAACATTCAACTGGTGCTTAATGGGACTCCACAAACGTTTCATTACAAGAAGGGCTCTGGGTTTCAAATTTGTGTAAATTTTATGTAGGTCTGGACCAAAAACTTGCGTTATTATTCCTAGATGCATTACAGACTTATACGCCGGACATGGTTTTCGAAAACAAGCACACAAGCACGTATTGACAGGGGTAATATTACATGCCTCTTGTTATTATTATGACTGGGGAAGAGACAAATAAATGTGAAGGTATATTTGAAGACTTGAATTAAAAGAATTTTAATTTAATTGTATATTCGTGTACAATATGCTTCAAAACGAAATGTAGTAACACAGAGAATTCTATATTGTTAAAAATAAGCAAAAGATTATTAAAAATTGACAAAAAATCTTATAATAATAATCAATTAATATATGTAATTAAAATATAATAAAATCTGAATTCCAAAGCTGTTAATTAGAAAGAAAATAAAGAACAATTCCTGAATGAATTATATAATTATCGTATAAATAAAATACTCTATTTTAAATTTATATAACTATAAAAATGAAAAAAAAATATAATTTAAATAAATAAACACAATCTGTTTAACAATGATTAATCTTTGAAAGACAATACAATATAAAAAAACACTAAAATAAATCATACTGGTTTAAACACATACAATGAAAGTAGTAATCGTGGAACATGGGAAACATACAAGTAGAAAATCATCAACCATTAATTTACTATCCTTTACTACCCTTTGATATGAATTATAAAACGTCAGTAAGGCACGTTAATTGTATATTATGAATATACATTATCATTATTAAGCAAATGCTTTAAGTAATAATCAAATTATAATATGCAAATTAAAAAAACAACATATCTATAACCAAAGCTGGTGCCTGGAAAACAATTAATAAACCACAACCTTGAATGAATTAATACATTGTCATAGAAATATTTTTTTTTATTATTCTTATTATTGAATCATAAAAATATGAAAAAGAAATATCATTTGAAGATGTACATGAACTTATGTTCTTTTCTTCATTTTATTTTCTTAATAGTTCTTTATTTAACACTAGTTCAACACTTATTAGATGAGCACTTTACATTTGCTTTTATTGACGAACACCTAATGAAGGTGGATGTCCAACATTACGTGTTAACAATACTGTCCCATCTCCTGGATCCAATGCACGTACCCTCTCCTCTCCACCACTCATTTAAATTAGAAACTGAAAGTCTTGGTCGATTTGGATCCCAAAGCATTGAGCAAATACGGCACCAAAATTTGGTATCAATAAATGACCCAGTTTCTTTCCACCTGAAGTATTTATTGTACTCGGTATCGTCTGCTGCCAGCTTCAATAAATAGTTTGCAAGTTCTTCGGGACCTTTGAAATCTTCTACATGTATAAACGATCCAGGGGGAGCCACGCGTTTATAATCGTCAGGATGCGCTCCCATCACCACCGGAAGTACATCATGACTGTAGAATAAAAATAAATGGAGATTAACTTTTTGCAATCGGTTTCTTTTGAGTCAAACAGTCTGGGAATTATGATAGAAGAGACACAGAAACTGCGATTTTTATCACGGAAACACGGCATCTTGAACGTAATTACAAGCAGAAAGAAAAATCCAATTACTTTCCCGAATAAATGGTGTTATTTTATTGTAAATGTTTAATGCAGCGTAACTTATCCAGAGATGTATTATTCAAGAACTTAACAAAAGCATAATGTTTCGAACAAGAATATTCCTGTAGCAAAATAGCAAATATTTACCACTTGCAATTATTTTAAGCATTATTTAAAAAAATATACTAGTTTTTTGTTGCCTTTTCACTTGACATAATTATTATTCATTGATTTTCTATTATTCCTTTACTAAGATAAAAGGTCTGCTCTGAAGATTAGTAATGAAAAGTTAAAATTCAACTGCAAGTGTATCAAGACAAAAGGAGTAAAAGATAATAATTATAAGATCGAAACGTAATAATTATTATTAAACCCATTTGGTTCCACGTTTTTCTTACTCCTATTACTGATTAATTCTACAAAAACTGATTTAAGTCAAAAAGTAAATGCAACTTAGATGCTTTCGGGGACTAAAAATATATATCTAATGGAATTATCGTTCTCTATATAAGGACAATTGTTCTCTATATCAAGAATTTTAAGTAATTATCAAATCTCTGCGTACGCTTGTCAGAATATTGTGCATATGATAAATTGTTTTAATTTATCTTAAGGATCCTTCGATAAAAAATATGAAGGATTAAGTCCTCACAACCCATTATATACATTCAATTATTTCGGTTAATTAAATTGTGTACTGGCATTAATCTTTGAAATATATATTACGATCAAATAAATCATATTGTAAGATAATAATTTACTTCTTTATTTGCTTATTTTCTATATCACTTTAAAAGTATCCCAGGATAGAATGTGGTTCTTGCATATTATTTTTAAAAATAATTTTATATTGAATTTGTAAGTTAAACATATACGAGTACTTTAGTTAGTTTTTGTAAACTGTTAGTTAACTTATTTGCTGAGAGAGATTTTTGCGTTGCAGTGCAAATCCAACTCAACCATGCTAAATATCTTAAACAGACTTGTCTATCTTTTAAAGCTTACAAAACTATTTATCATTTGGAACATTTTAAAGTATGTTCTTACTAAAGAGCGAACAGTGCAGATCATGATCAACAGTAAGAGATGTCTGACCATGGTCTGCATTGGTCGCATGGGCAGAATGTGTTGCCGTCAGTATGCTTACGGTTAAACCTACATTACACGTAATTTATCTAAGGTTATTAAAATCAGGTTGATATCAGAAATATGAAGTGTTTTAGTTGGATTTAAAGTACTGCAGTCTTCAAAAGTAGCTAGAAGTCTTTTTCTTTGAAATTAATCAAGATATAGCATTTTATTTTTTATTTTGACGGGATATTTTGATTTTTTTATTATTTCAAGATAAGCTTTTTGCACTAAAATCCCTGTTCTGTTACAATTTTAAACTATTTTTACGAAATAAACAAGAAAATCGAGGTACCTACCGAAGTGCATTCATGAAGAACTTTTCTGTTATGTAGTCTCTGCAATTTGCATTTTCAAATGCAAAATAGAATTTATAATCTTTTTTAAGCATTTCAAAACACGAATTTTGTGACGTTTTAGTACATTCCTTGTCACCACAGTAACCGTATATATCCACAGTCATATACTTCTTCAGTTCCCTTAGATATTGCAATCTATTATTTGATGCATCACAATTAGAAACAAAAATAGCTCCAAGTTTTGTTTTGCCTTTTGCATAGTCTTTTAGCTTTGTGTGAGCAAGAACAGTAGAAGCATTATCAAACGGCACCCATTTATCGTATGGGGTCACTATTGTTGACTGATGTCTGTAGGTGGCGGTCCAGTTAATAACATTATTTAATCCTTCGTAGTTTGGAGACGCCTCGGGACTTTCCAGTGCGAACATAATCCAAACTTGCTCCGGAGTTCGAACAGTGTCCTGAAACATGTTTGTAACCATGAGGCTATTAAGATCAATTTCTTTAAACATCCTCGCATCATAGATTTCATTTGGTTTCGGAGAACTCACAAATTCGCAGTTTTTCACATTACAATTATGTTCATGAAACGACGCTTTCCCTTCTTTTTGCCCCCATCCTGAAACTCCATTCCACATTAAAATCTTCTTTGGCGGCAGGTCTGGATTAATTTTTGGATTAAAAGCCACTTGTTCAACAATACTGTCCTGTCCTGGAATTATTTTCCAAATGTCTCTTCTCGCTTTCTTTACAACACTTCTAGTTAAATACGTCTGATTTTGCCGCACTACATTGAATGGCACTGACACAGAATTCAATAATTTGTTCTCATGGTAAAGCGGTATTATATTCAATAGGAGTGTTAAAAATACAAATATCCCTATCAGGAAAATAAACTGTTTCTGCATTTTGTTAAAGCCCATATTGAATGAATATTTCACCGCACGCACTATACTCTATCTAAAACACAGTACTAACGCAATACTAAAATATTTCCCTGCTTCAACGCCGCTGTCCGTTTGTTAAAACATAGTTGAATTTTGCTTTTAAACTCCATTTCAAGCTTATTTATTATTGAAAAGTCTTTTCAGCCATTAAATGCAAAACCTTCGAGGAGAATTTCACGAAGTTCATTTCAGCCACAATAGCCTAGAGTTTTCTATTTAAATCACATTAAATTGAAAATAATTTACCTCGTCTTTTCTATTAGACAACGCATTAGTGTTCTCAATTTGACAGCTCTTCTTCTCTTAAGTGCCTCGAGATTTCTATTATTTAGAGGTACAAATGTGCCAATTCACTAAAAGCTAGTTTTTGAAGCACTCCTCCTTCCTTTTAACCACGATAGGCCTCCAGTTATGGCATTTTGCAAAACTGTACACCGCTCGTCCTGTAATATATTATAAAAAGTTATTTTTACTGTTTGTTGAAAGTAAATTGTAAAATATTGATACATAAGAGACACGGAAATATCCTAAACATGTAATCGTAATTAATTACAATTTAATGACAATTTGTTAGAGAAATCTAAAGTATTCGAATATTTTTGAAATTCGATGACATTAAATTGTAATCATTACATGTGCAATAATCGGTTTGATTTAGGTAACATTTCGATTACAGATCTGTTACTTTCATAGAAAAAAGTGACTTTCCAATATTTTATTGTCACTTAGAATAAAAATTTAATGCGACAAATAATATACTGCACTGTGTTATTTGTTTCAACAGTATTAATCAATATAATATTTAATATATTATTTATCTCTTGCATTGTGACAACCAGAGCTATTTCATTATCAGTAAATAATTAATTTAAAGATTAATATTTATGCAATTCTGAAATGAAATAAGCTTTATTTCGTTACTATTTTCACCTCAAATGCTGCTTTGCTTATGAAATAAAACAAGAAACTACAAACTACATACATTGTTGTCTCCTAACTAAAAACTAAAGTTAAAGCTCAAATATTAGGCCTTACTGGATGATATGATTCGTTATTTATACAAACTGGTATTGATGATAAATACACATGTACTAAAACTGTCCTCATGTCTGTGAGGTTTTTATCATCTAATATACTTTTCTTTAAATGTAATCTAAATGAAATCGATTTAACATTTTAAAGGTAAAACGGAAAGTGAACAAAAGGACGGAAAAGGAAAATAGGACAAATGTCAACCTCGTAAATTGCCTTTTGTTTGGTATCTGATATGAATTATGCAAAAACATGTCAATACAATGCTGAATAATTAGTGTATTGTATAGCTCCGTGATTTTTAAAAACACTTCTCAATAGTATATAATAGATCTGGGTGCCATCAAGCCATTATTGATAATGTCGCTAAATGTCAATAGAGTGTCTTCCATCGTGACGTCATTATGATGGCTCGTAATATTATTATCATTATCGTAGGGTCCTTATTCAATAGATAAGAGTGCAAGACTTGTCATCTCGACATTGTGGGTTCTATTCCCGGGCTGGCCAAATAGAATTAGTAATCACTTAAATTACTGGGCACGCTAAAGAACCAGGAGAAGCTTCTGGAATTGGGGCATCTTTCTGTATCAGTATCTTGAAATATCCTCCAAAATCGAAAATGACTAATACTTTTCTGGAAGACTCGTTCATATGGGGAACCAGTGTCGAGTTTAAATAAACTCAAATACATACAACATGTCCTTTATCATAAAACGATTGTATAAGTTTTACATTATACTCCAACGAAAGCTTATTATTCATTTTCACATCGGAAATTATCGGCTGAAAAATTAAGCGGTAGCCTCCTAATTACGTATTATTGCATGTTTGTTAAGGTATGCGATTTTAAAGAGTTTCGAATGAAGAGCACAAAATTATTTGCAAACTATCGATAATCGTTTTACATGTACATGTATATACCTTCACAAGTTTATTGAAAAAGACGTTTTTCTAACTTTGCTTGAATGCTGCTGGAATGCGTTTTTAAATGCTGGTTTAATAGTTGTGTGTTTAATATAGTTAATGACGTCAAAAGCACGTGCGTGAACTAATGAAAATTTAATTATCGGGGTTAAAGCTAAAACAAGTATCTGATACCTTTGATTCCAGTTCAGTAATTCATATCATAAATAATTTTAAAGAGGAATTGTATCGCCATTTCAGTTAATTTGTTGTGGGTTTGATACGAAATGAAATAAAATATTCATAACTAAATTTGATAAGTTCTGCTGATCAACTGGACCAAATGAGTTGTTTTTTACGATGACGTATGCACAAGTTTATTTTTAAATGGAATAATTTGCAACATCAAGGGTATATATCATGAATTACAATAACAAATATGGTGTTCCTTGAGTATAAATATAGCTCAGTAAAGGCACTAAATATTAAACCCCGAATTTTCCTGGTACTTTTAGTAGATAACTTTCAGCATTTTTGGTATTATATGATTACTAATTAAATGTGTTTAATTCATATAAATTTCATGCTTTTCATATATTTTTGCATATAAAAGAAGCACATATTTATGTGTGCATGAATACGTCATTGCAAGGTAAACTTACCGAAACATGCCATTTTCATTTAGAAACATATCCTGCAGTGTTTCCTAGATATAATAATTAAATGTTATGACAATATTCCGAAATAACCTACGTGAGTAAAAGCAGTTTTACTTTGTCCGAGTATCTGTTTTAAAGAAACTTCGTTTTCTCATACTATTTAAGCTCAATATTTGCGAAACCCTAAGTTGGCAACTTTTTTAAAACTCTACCAGAGAATATCTGTGGGGAGCCACGGAAAAAAAGAACAAGGAAACAACAAGTAATATAAAACATGCCCAATACCTCTCATATCCCATTTAGTGTCTATTGGATGTAAATACCATGCAAATGAGTGACCTTTATTTTGAACGAAGATAATATTTCAACTTTTAAGATAACGCCAGGACAACAGAAGAATTGTATATTACGCTTCTCGTTTTAAAGCGCTTATCTATGGTGGCTAATTGGTGTCATGTCAGGTAATCTTTGGCGGCCAATTGATGCCATGTAAGGTAATCTTACAGTATGGCGGGAAAGGCAAACATACGGAAACACGACACATTCGTTGGTAGTCGTTTCAAGTTGCCCTGTAACGTAACAAAAATAGATGGCAATTTTCAGCTACCATACTCGTCAGAAAACTCGTATTTGGTTGACAAGAGCTACTCATTTAGGCGTTTAAGAATTCAATCAATTTAGCAGATTCTACATAGCAAACTGTCTTTGTGGATACAGGCCATTTCAGAAATGGTTTCATTTAAAAATCTAGATCTAGATTGATATAAACTGCAATAGAACACGTGTGGCTTTTTGTAAAACATGCGATTAAAAAGATCTGTTGCAAGAAATAAAGTACTGAAATACCATTGCTCAATCTAACAAGCTGTATATTGTAAGCATTTGTTAACAAGCAAAGCAAATTTCATTATATCTCTTCTACGTGTACAATAAACTATGATTAAAGCAACGTAAAAGTATGACGTCAAAACCCCACTCAACGTAGTACCTTATTGTTTTTATCACCTTAGTTTCTCCATAGAGCTATATTTAAAGAATTGTTATTCTGTAATTAAAGTCTCTGGTTTCTCCGGGTGTGTTTAAAAATTAAAATTAGTTATATCACGTTTCTTCGAATGAAACGTCTGAGTATATCTCAAGTCAAATTATTCCATAAATACATATATTAACAATGTCTATTAAATCTACATCTAACTTTCCTAAGGGAGAAAGAAATTACAAGAGATTACATCCGAGATAACACTGTTTCATAGAATACATTTCTCTAAGACCTCATCAAGAAAATAAATTATAACATACCTTTTAAAGATAAATTAAAATTACAAGTTTCTATACAAAGAACTGGGTTACAAATTTGTAACAGTATCAAATTTTATCTTCAGACATTTTGTTAAACACGTCTAACAGAAATTTACGAAAATGGAAATTGTAAAAATACCTGTCTGCCTAAATCGAAAAGATAACATTTTGTAACTCCTCCCTGTTGTTAAACATGGTTTCAGTGCAGCAGATACACAATATCATTATCTTTTATTAAACGCGTACATTCCTGTTTTGGTTTTCAGTTTATTTCACTTACGTGTTGTATAAATAAGATATAACACGCTTAGCAGCTGCCCGCTTGCTTTAATTGTGTGCGTATTGTTGATTAAATATATTTAAATATATTGGGAGGGGGTATAACTTTGTTATTTGTACTAGGTTGTAAATATTGTTCATGTACATGAATGACATTTAAACAAGTTAATAATAAAATACGCTTATCTATGCATAACGTCTGCAAAATCAATAACTATACTCTACTTTCTGCACTATCTCAGGACACCTGCCATTTGTTTTATGCACAAAATTCCAATTATTGATCTCGATATATTGCAAATGATATTGTATAATAAATGAAACTGTTTCTCTCTTTTGAAAGTGTTTGATTCTAAGATTGGACAGTCAGTCGTTATGCCACCATGTATCTAATTAACTGAACATAAGTCCCATTATACCTCAGTTCATTTTTTTAATTTTGGTAATTTATTACAGTTTCCGAAAAAGTACTGGTTTGCTATTTACATGAACCTTTTTTAATACTTCTGCTCGCTTGGCAGTTGTTATAATTATAGTGAATTAGTATTTTGTATGGGAGTCAAAATGCTTATTTGTTTACATTTTGCTACCTATGCGACACATTACTGCACTTTAAGTCCTACATTCTTCAGTTGTTGAACTTCTAAAATGCCCTAAATCCATTATTATTAATGGAGGTTTCTAAAGAATTAAAAAAATATGACTTTAAGGAGAACGGTTCCGGGAAATTAACTACAATAGGCACAAATGAGGTTATCTCCCAAGTGTCTAATTAATGTGATTCTCCACAGATTACTGCGGTTAACTCCTTAACTAAGAAATCTACCAATTTGTAGTTTTTGTAGTGTTGTAAATTATACTGGGGCCTATGTTTTAGCAAATGATAAGAACAAATACCTTTTACGAATTATTTATATCACTATAATAAAATATACATTGTATATGTTCAAGGAGCCTCTATTTAGTACTTATTACAAACCACATTTATTCATGTCAGCATGAAATGTGTGTAATAACGGAAATTTGATTTGACTTTACTTGACTTGACAAAGAGTTATGCATGTTTTCTCCTTGTTTCCGCAGTTTTGCACTTATTTCTTTCAAAGTGTTTGCATATTCATATAATTATGTTTACGATACATTAATGACATAAATGACTTAATGCCTATGCTTACGTAATTTAATATTCACGGAAACTATGTTCTTTCATTCGTGTATTTTGACGACGTATTGATTATAATTTGCTCAGAGTCATTTTGAATTTAATTTAATAGATTTTATGAAAGTCAACGATCAAGTTCTCACTTATTGAAAAGGTACATAATGAGCAATCGATCGACTTGATTATAATATAATAATATAATGTTATTTGACCCTTTAATAAAGAATATTGATATCGACCTGTGAATTGTAAATACAAGCGGTGTAAATGATATTAACGAACTGCATCCTTTTAAGTTCATAAGGATGACCACACTTACACTATATCCAATGTTAATCTTACGGAAAATGTTGTCATAGCTAGATATCATATATAAAAGAAATAGTTTATGTAAATATGATTTTATTGATCCTATTTTAATGAAGGTATATCTAAATAATTTAAAAAGGAAGCTAATTTGTAGCTTTCCAACCTCATAGCGAAGAAAATGACAATTTCCTGGAAGGTAACTTGTTGAAACGATTGTTTTAAAACATTTAAACGTTCGATATTTCCCTTTATCAATAGCCTTAGTCGTATATGATTATGAGTAAGACGCATTATTTCCTGAGGAATGACACGATTTATTTTGCGAGTCTTCAATAAAAATACGAGTACATAAAACATTCACATACATCAGCTTTACACTTCATGATCAATTTAAAATTTCTGGCTTTGTTGCAAAACATTTTTATTTACATTTTCCTCAAATGGAAAGACAATATTTTCTTATCTTCGTGTACAAATAATACGTTTATGCTCAAATTTGAAGTTCTATCGTTGGTCATTTGCTTATTAAAAGTTTATATATCGTTTAGTCAGGATATAATTAATGTTCAAGGCATTATGATAAACCATTACGAGCAGCACTGTCTATATATAAATAAGACACACGGAATTCTGGCACATAACGACATTGGCAGAAGTGTACCCGTCTGAGTATTACTTATATGGACTTACTGGAATTGTTGGGTTTAAACGCTTCCCCTTTAATTTCAACAGCTGCACAGATCTAAACAGACATTCGTCTAGGTAGCATTTTATTCGGCTCTTCCAAAGGTATGCAGTGCACAGTTGACCATTCCTTAGCAGCTATTTTACGCGTGCGTAAAACCTCGCTTGTGTTATATTTTACTAAGCAATAAAAAGCGGCTGTTTATTCTATTCACGTGCCGATATACACCCAATCAGTATTTCACGAGACGAAGATTTAAACATGAAAAGTGATGTCATCGATCAGACACCATACTTTGTAAATATTTTGTTTGAACAAAGTTTAAAGTATTATGGCAATCTGGATCAATGAGTGCACAAGATATCTGATAATGCTTACCCCTGTGCTCCTTAATTTTCAACTATGGCGATATAAATGTAAAATTATTACCCTCATTTTACACACAATAAAACTTTAAATTAACAAAATGTCCCATATGCGATATTTTAAATTTTTGATAAACAAACGAAATACGAAACTAAGATTGTACGCTTATATTTGCTAAGTTTTCTTCCTGTTTACTATTTCATTTATAGAAAATATAAACACAATAAAAATACAATGATGATGAACCAATATAATTATTAAACTGTTTTACTCACAATTTAGACACGTATTCCTTGTTTTAATAAATTTTAAAACTAGAGTGCAAATATTGTGATCTGTATGGAGTTGTTAAACAGTGACCTAAGTTGAAGCGATAGATAACACTTCAACGACATAGAGATAACAGCCGCACGACGGCGGATATTTTAACGTTGACTTTAATCTTTGTTTGCTAATCTGATAAAAATGTGCCGCATATCAATTTCGTTGTCGCATGTTATCTATAAATAATACCTGTATGTAGCACTACAGTTGACGTTTTAGTTGAAATTTAAATAAATTAACTGCGCATGCGCATACCAGACCACTAAACAGAGATAAAGAAAATGCAATGAATTAGCATTAAATTTATAATTTAATTAAAATTAGTTGTAGTTGTTATTAGCATGTTCCGAATAATGTATGTCTGCAAGACTAGCTTATCTTAAGTATCCATAACAAACATTTATGACTTTAGACCACCAGACATACCTAATCAACTGTAATTAATGACGACTATAAAATCTACCGATTATGGCTTCAAATGATGATTTCAACTGAGAGATCATCAGACCAAAAATATTTCCGCTGCACAGCCCTCGTCGGTGGCACATATCACACTGTTGACGCTATGTACTTCAAAGATTGATAATTAATAATTTGATACTAATTTATTTTAGTTCGATTGTATTGGAAGATATACGCTTGAAACACTTTCGAATGCTTTCCTGGAACCAACCAGTACAAAGCAATGAGTGTTAACTTTTTTGCTCACGGAAACAACGGCTTGCTTCTGACGAAGTTTGAATTCAAGCGGCCAGCAGTCTTTAGATTACTTTTACAACGCATTTACCACTCGGCCACCCGAAATATTGAAAATAAACCACTTTCACTGTAAATTATGTAAGACATACTTAAACATGCACATTTTTTACTGGTTAAATAGCAAGTGTTGCTGAACTGATCGTGCATTTGTTTTTAATTTTGAATTTTAAAAATTATATGAGGGTCGTAAAATGTTGTTAAAAGTGTCGGAATTCATTTGTTTTTTTTAACTTTAAAGTATTTTTTTTATCTAAATTAGGGTGTCAAAGTAAGTTTCACCATGTTGAAATACCAGACCTTCAATGGACAAAGTTTACACTATATCACATTCAAATCATTTGAAAAACACGCAGAAATATAAAATAATGAATTACATTGCGGTTAAGTTATAACGAAAATTTATGTTATATATCTGCCTGGCTTAAAAACGTCAAGTTTCAGAGACATATTCAATTTATTTATTTATGTATTTATTTTTGTTTGTTGTTATCACTATACGGACATTTAGTATCTTGAAACTTATCCGGATTATAATGTTATGGTATTGGGTATGGAGACTGCCATATTAGTCTTTAGCCTCAGGCTAATATGACAGTCTAAAGCCCAATAACAAGTCATTATGAAAACCCTTAATTATTGACAATTTTATTAACTAACTAACACATAATCTAAAAAAGTTAAGTACTTAGTTATCAAGAAAAAAATAAACTAATGCAAAATTATGTTGTTGTGATGTTTTGCAAATGAGATTCTTGTTTTAAAAATGTCTCGGAAACCTACATACATGTATAAGCAATTCTTAATGGAAAAAATAAGATTCATAATATCCGAGCTGGAGCTCTAATCTCATAATAGCCAAATTTTCTTTTTGCAAAATGGCCTTGTTTTATGTTCATACTGTCGTGGTGAACTTCATATTTGCCTAACATTTGAAGTGGAAACGTATCCAATATTGAAAAAGTAATTAATAATAAACAATAATCATGCCACCAGTATAAAGGCATGCCGGTTAATGCATTCGTGCATTTCAACCGATCCGTGGTCTAGCCCAGTAATCCAGAGTTCGCAGGTTCTATCCCCGCTCTTCTTTTATCAAATGAAACCTGAACAACCGAGGTCCCACATATCGGTGCGGGGCGTCCGTGGCCGAGTGGTTAAGGTCGTTGACCTAAACATACTGTGTCCGACGATGGATTTTGCTATCCGTAGCTTAAACGTCGGTGGTTCTATCAGGTGCCGTCGTGCTGAATAATGACGGAGGCCTAGGTCTTCTCCACCAGTAAAGCTGGAACGCGCGATAAAAACGAACCAAAAAAAAAAAAAAAAAAAAAAAAAAAAAAAACATATCGGTGCTTTAGACCGGGCATGATAAGACCAGGTCGCCACTGAAACGGGGCAGCGATTATCATACACTACCTCGAATGTAACAACTTTCTCCTAAGAAGCAACAGTATGTGAACGTTGATAAACTGAAAGACAAATAATTGAGTGTTTTGACCATACCTTTTACTGTAGAGTACATAATTTGCAAATGATTAAATCTTTAATCCCTAAAGCCAATAATGGACTTTTTCAAATACAAATCGGGGCAATCAGTTTTACGAATGAGGGCAATCAATTTTACAAATCATGTGAATCAATTTTACAAACTCAGAGCAATTAATTTTACAAATAACGGCAATAAAATATTACAAACTCAGGGCAATCAATTTTACAAACTCAGGGAAATCAATTTTACAAACTCAGGGCAATCAATCTACAATTCAGGGCAATGAATTGTACAGAATTCAGGGCAATCAGTTTTACAAATCTTTTTTTACAGAAATAAGGATAATCAATATACAAATCGGAGCAATTATTTTCACAAATCAGGGAAACCAGTTTTAAACATCATGGCAATCAATGTTTCAATAAATTTAATAAATACAAGGTAAGATGTAAGCAAACAAATATATTAAAAGCTATGTGTGCTGTTTAGAAGCTAATAAAATATATACGTTGTCACCATAGGTATAATTATATGACAATTAACACAGACTTAAACGCTTACTTTAATTTTTTCCTTTATCTCCACTTCATTCCGTTTTCTGTAGATCGCTTTAATCCACGACCAATAAACAACAATACTATGCACATTAACTAGTTCATAGTAACTAATGCAAAAAAATCACATACAAATGCGATGGATGTTCAAGCACTAAAAGGCGGGATTTCCTCACATATCATCAATCACAAGCGAACACTTGGTGTAATAATATTGATACAATCATACCGTTATTCCATCTTTTTAGTTGAATTATATATACTTTTATGGTAGAAGAATGGCTTCGTATTGTTGGGGTAATTGAATGATCAATGTTCATGCAGACATACAACAATTCATAGAATATCAATAAAAGTTTCTTCATTAACTTGTTGATATCATGGTATATATTTCGAATTAAATCATTCTACGAGTTCATTGCTAAACGACTGCATTTGAATCGCTTTTTTGATAAAATATGAACCTATTGTTGCAAAAATACTAGGTGTGAAAAAAAAAACAAAAAAAAAAAAAACAGTTTTGTTTTTGTTTTGTTCTTTTGTGTTTTTTGTGTGAATATTTTTTTGCAAAAAGACTAAGCACAACATACGGTCGTACATTTTATTCACAATGTAGTGTTTCTTAAAAGTTATTAAGTACAGACGATTAAAGTTACTTTTGGCATTGCACGGGTTAGTGCATTACCTCGAGAGTCAATTGTTTTTCTGACCAGGATATTACTTGCTTCTAACCTTAAAGTGATAAAGTCAAGTTAGGTTCACTGATAGTTACATATAAGTTTCATACTTTAGTCTTTTGTACTTACAGGCGTCGTTAAACCGTTACCCTGCTGGAACCTGTGTCACCTGTATAATGCAAAACCAGCGTGCACATTGGTGCAGTCTGAACTGGCTCTATACTGGCGGCTGTTTGCTGACTTTCTTTAAATTTTCATCTTGATATCCCCTAAATTGATAATGGACAGTTCCTTTCAAAATGGAAGTGGGTCAAGCCCATTTAAATATTCAGCAGGTTCAGAGTTAAATGCCTTCCGGAAGCTTTCTAGAACAACGAAAGTGAATCAGCGAGCTTCTAGAATTTATAAACTTAGTCGCTGGCATCGATGTTAGTGTTTCGGCGTGATTTGAAGCTGCTTTCATAACACATGGTGGTTTGAACTTTTCTGGAAAATCAAATGTTATCAAAAGCTATAATTACGAATTAATATATTGATAATAATAATTATAAGCTTTGAAATAGATTACTAATTCACTTTTGTTGCTCCAAATATTACCAGCTTATCGACACTTTTATTCTGCTATTATTTTAAACCGTTGCAACGATATCGTTTTGTGTGGGTTAGTACCTATTTAGCGGGTAATATATATAATATATAGAAATACTATACTAATTACTGTCACAGTAGCCGATATTCCTTGTAACAATATTGTTATTCTTCTCCCTTGTTTTAGTACTCATGCCAAAAAAGTAATAATAATCGTAAAACAACTGACAGTGTGGTGATACGAAACCTAAATTATCGGCACAGAACAACTTCACTATAATTATATTGATGATTCATATCGTACAATTATCTGAGACAATATTTCTAGATATTTTTGCAGCAAGATTCGTAACGATGAAATATCACGGGGTTTGGTTTTAACCTTGAAAATGAAAGCTTTCGGATGGACATAAAATACAGAACATTAAGAAACGTTTATTTGCTGATAGCCCCGTCACTTTAACGTTTTCCGGAGTTTTCATAAAGACATATATGCAAAATTAAAACTGTTCAACAGAATTTCGTTAAACTTGGCATGTTGTTAGGACATGATAACAAAAAACATTTTAACCGGACAGAAATTGGGGTCACCATTCTCGTTTGTGAAGTATCTGTCCTTGAATTGGATTTTTTGCTTAATTCAAGGGCAGATAATTTACAATGACGGTACACGATACGTTATTTTTTTTTATCTTATTTCAAGTACTTTCGTTAAAGCCAATGAGCAAAATTAGCGGATTGGCTGTTTTCTTTTCTTCTTCATGTGCCTTTGTTCTTTAAAAATGGCTATTTTTTAAGAATTTGTAGTCCCTTTATTTAAACTGAAAAATTGTAACAGAAATAATATATGGAATTGCATGTATTTATGTATTGTGATCAACAATAAAACGAAAAACACAATCCAGAGGTAAAAACAATATTTATAGACGTATGTATAAGTTATCTGCCCTTGAAATCACCTGAAATAAGTAAATAATTCTGATTCAAGGGCAGATTACTCAAGAGTGAGATCAGTGCCACCCAATTTTTTTCCGCTCAAAATATTACTAT